ATTCTTTCAACTATTCTATCATATAATAATTATTATTAAAACTAATTATATTTTATACTAAATGGAATATAAAAGTTGCATAATTCAGCATAATTAAAAAATTGTATCATTACTTTTTTCTTCAAGTTATTTATTCTAAAATTATTGTCATCTTTTCTCTTTTATCTCATTAAGCAACTGTTTTTTTTTAGAGTAAACTAATCCTCTAATTATTTCAAAACATGTTGAGCCCAAATGGCATGCCCGCATGCTTCGGAAGCTTATTTGACATAAATTTGTGCTTCGTATTGACAAATATATAAATTTAAATTAACAACCAGGCTTGATAATTACCATAAAATTATTGTACCTTTCATCTCCTTAAATTACCATATATTATCTTTTTTTAAAAAAAAAAAAATACCAAATTTAATGTTTTCCTTTATTTTTTATTCATATGTTTAGTTACTATAATATGTATTCTTTTTATTTTTAAAACTTTAATTTTTTATAAATTTGTATTTTATGTTTCATATATATACCTATTAATAATATTTTTAATATTTTTTTTTTATTTTACAACCATGATGCATATACAATATGAAATTAATTTTATATATCTTTAGAAATAAAAATATAAATTTATTTATCAAAACAAATTTCTAAATATCAAATAAAATTTTAAATTGGTTTATAAAATGAAAAAAATATTAATATATCATAAGACAATCATTTTAGTGTATTGCTTTATAGATCTAAGGAAAATGAAGAAAGCGAGTATTTAACAAAAATTAATATTAAAAATATTTTATAGATCTAAGGAAAATGAAGAAAGCGAGTATTTAACAAAAATTAATATTAAAAATATTTAAAAGATTATGTTTCAACCTAAATAAAGTATATAGAGAGGTTGAATGTTTTTATTGTTGCAAAAAAAAAAATATGAATAATTATAATAGTTAATAATAAAAAAAAATAATTATTAAATTTCATCAAGTTATAAAAATAAAATTTGTATATATTAGTTTACGTTTTAAGTCATCAAATATTGTAAATTTGAAATACTTGAAAAATACATAAACAATAAATACCAACTTTGTAAATAGAAAATATAATTACAATACACTAATACTTTTTAAAAAAAAAATTTAAAAAAAAAAAATCAGAATCAAATTATGGTACTGTAGATCATATTTGATTTAAACATATAATTTTATAAATTGGATTCAAAAATATTATTGTTTGAAATATGATCATCTGTCCAATTGTCCACGTAAATTATTAACTTAAAAAATTGTAATGTGTATTGTTATAAATTATAATAATAAATTAACAAGTGATCTTTGAACAACGATGTAATTGTTAGCTTAGAAAAAAATATTTATAATATATATTGTTATTAATTATAATGATAAATTAATCGGTGTGGAATTGTCATATAAATTATTAGATTAAAAAGAAAATTTAAAATACTTATAATATACATCATTATAAATTTTAAAAAAAAATATTGATGTAATTAAAAATTATTAAATTTTTAAAATTTAAAATAATATATATTACAGTCTTTTTCAATTAATTGTTGATTAATATTTGCCACAATTTTTTAATTTTAGCATAACTTATTTTAAAATTTAAATATTGTGATAATGTATGAGTACGAGTGTATGAAGAGAGAAGTATTATGTGTGTATTATCTATTGATAATGTTAGAATATATTAAATTGTCATTATTTTAATTCTAAAATGACAGCTATTTTATAACGGGTAAGATACATTTATAATTCATATGCTAAATTATTATATATCATAAAATAAAAAGAAAAAAATATATATTCAAAACTATTTTTAAAATAATTAATATTTTTTCATGGTTATGATATATGCAATTTATAATTATTGCTCCGTGCAGTACACGGGCTACGTATTAGTATATATAGATTAGCTTGTGTTAGTAATTTTATTTTCTACGTTTTTTTTTNTAGAATACCAGTAACAATAAAAGGAGATCCAGTCTCCAACCATTATAAAAAATATAAGATAGAAAATACGGGAGAAAATCCTTCTATAAGAATAAATTTTCTACAGTATTATTAGTTATACAACTAGATCATCCTAAACGAGTAATAAAAGATGAGAACAAATATCGAAAAATCTAGTAGGTCAAACGAAGCAAGCAATAAGACCTCCTGTTAAGTTTGTCTAACATTAGTTATATTGAACGCACAAATTTTATTGTAGGTGTCCTAATCTATTTGTCATACTTTTATAACAAAAATATATATTGATATTATGATATGTCATGCTTTTATTTTATATTGTTTGTTAGAGTATATCATTTCATTTAAAAATATGCATATTAGTTGAAAAAATATGTTTGTGTAAAGCTGCCTAACAATAGTAGAAAAAGATTTTTCTTTTATAGGAATAAGGTACATTTAATATTTAATGATAATTTTGTTGTGTTCTTCAGGTTGTACAAGGCGAAGAGGTTTTAAAGTCGGATATATTTGCACATATAAGTGAAGTAAATTCATTTAAATCCAACTACCCTATCCAATCATGGATCTGACTCGAGTTTCTTGATGAAGGCCCGACCTTTACCAATTTTGTAACAAAAGTATATATTTTTTTATTGATCCAGTAGTTGAAGAAATTAACCTTTATGCTGGTGATATATAATTTTACCTTTCTTTCATTGCTCAGATGGCAATATAGTCCCTTTAATTTTTTGGTTATTCGAATCAATGTTATTGTAGGTAGAATTCATTCACTAAACACATAATTACAATCGACTCACTAGCCGGAATAAGATGACTACCCAAGGCAGTCTAGATACCACAACACACACTACAAAACGAATAAGAAAAATAAAAGCTCCCCACGAGTGAATACACAAACTCCCCATAGGAGAATAACACAAACTCCCATAGGAGAAAACAAGCTCCTCCAAAAAAGGAGATAACAAAACACAATACACAAAGCAACACACAAATAAACACCACATAAACACAAACCACACAGATTAAAACAAATCTACTAAACTAATGCCCTTCCCATAGCAGCGAAACCAAACCGAACAAAGACGACGTCGACACCCACGGATAACCACCCACACAGAGACCCGATCGAAGTCACGAAGCCAGAAACTGTAGTATAAACGCCTAACTAGATCCGAGACCAAGACCCTGCCCCGCCAGGGTAGACAACCCAAAGACCCGCAACCGGAGAAGCAAAACAAGCTCCACCATCCCGGCCCCCACGACCAGGGTCCAGTCCACAAGACCGACCCCGGGCACGACTCTTCCATTGGAACCGAGACGGCCCCAAAAACATAAGAAATCGGGAGAAAGGAGGGAAGCGGAACAACCCGATCTCAGCCCGACCACCGCGATGATCAAAGCCACAGCCCAAAAGTTGTCGGCTTTCCGGAACCTCACCGCCGCCCAAACGCCGGGGAGCCACCGACCATGACCCTCCTTGGCGACCTAGAAGGAGTCGAAGACCAAATTAGCGCGGTCAGAGGAGTGCAATTTTTTGAGCGAGAAATCGCCGATGTTGGGCTTGAAGTGGATGAAGAAGCTAGGGTTTTGGTGTTGATCATGTTGAACTCGATGCTCATCGTCTGGGGATGTTCGTCGCGACCCAAAGTGCCTGACGCCGGTCTTGAATAAGAGCAGTTGCATCAAGATAGGAATTGGGGCATGGCTATTTTTTATAAATTAGATAAAATTCTAGAGATTTAGTTGCAATTTCAGAAACTTAGGAATTATTGCAATTTGATCCTTTAGGCCAATCCGTAATTTCTTTAATATTTAAATAACTTCAATCTAGCCATTTTATTTTTTATTATTTAATTAGTGTATATTTAGTTTATTTTCTGTGCCTATTTAGGTAATACGAAATACATATTTAGTTTCATAGATAATACATATTTAGTTTAGAACATAAAAACAGTAAAAAGGCTCAATGATATTGCTATAAATTGCATTTTTTGACTGCACATTTAGTTCATATGAAGTGCATATTGGTTCATAAACAATGCATGCTTAGTTGATATTCTTGTTGCACATTTAGTTCAATAAAAATACATATTTAGTTCATACCAAATGTATATTTAGTTAATTATTGTTAATGTGTATACTTAAAGCTTGGCCTTTTGCATAATAAACACTATTTTCCGATTGAATAAGAATCATGTTTAATTAAATTGTCTTGCATTCTGATGTTTTACACTTGAATATTGTGGTTCATCACGGATGGACAGAAGACCACGTATTGATTACTTCTAAAACATAAGTAATTAGATTCACAACCTTGATGTTAATGAACGACCAATCGTGAACAGTTGTAGTGTCAACTGTACATTTTGTCTTGACTGATTGGTTGCACTAGTACACTACATGTCAAACGAATCCCAGAGAAGATAAGTTTTTTTTTTATACCGATCGAGTAAAAAAAAACTAGATCTCGGTTAGATATGCGTACTCTTAACTCGAAGATATAAACATTCATGTGCATACAATAGTTGCTACTTTGAATCACTAAAAAGTGAGATCCATTCAGCTGGGTCAATAGTCTGATGTGTTTTGAATAGTGATGCTTTGTGTACGGTGTGTTGTTCAAATATTTACGCTTACCGTGTGCAATAGTCCGATGATGTCCCCGAGATGAGCTCAAGAAGGATTATTATGTTAAACCCTGCAGGTGGATTAATTTTCTACGTAATAATAAAGAATTTGGTGGTACTAGTCTCGGCAATGATTGAAGGAAGGGGATAATAACTCCAAATTTTTTTCATGCTTACACTATCCATAAGAATGGAATTTGTGATACTATTGAGGAGGTAGAAGACTGTGGCACAAGTTAATACAAATGTTTGTTTACATCTGAGGGTTCATCAGAACTTCTACTGAATATTCGTTGCTTTATTACCCAACCAATGAATGAGGATCTTGCGACACCAGCCGAAGAAGATATCAGGAATGATTTATTCACTATGAGTCTAGAAAAAGCATCAGGCGATGACGGTATGTCGTCTTTTTTTTTTCACAGCATTTCTGGCCAATTGTTAAAGATGATTTGTGTATTGTCATTAAAAGCTTTTTTCTATCTGGGAAGTTGCTGAAGTATTGGAATCACACTACGATAAATTTAACTCAAAATTCCTTAATCCTGAGTCCTTGAGTCATTTCAAACCTATCAGTCTGTGTGGGGTGGTGTATAAAATTATCTCAAAGATTCTGACCAGTAAACTTAAGATTTGTCTGAGTGATTGTTTGAGTGAGTTCCAAGCTGCTTTCATTCCTGGTTGGCAGTTGTTAGATAATGTAATTTTGGCTCAGGAGGCTTTTCAATATCTAAATAGACAAAGATATGGCAAGAATTATTTTATGGAAGTTAAACTTGGCATGATAAAAACATATGATCGCATTGAGTGGAATTGCATTAGTATGATTATGTTGAGGATGGGTTTTCATAATAGATTTGTCAAGTGGATCTTGGGTAGCATTACATTAAATTCCTTCTCTTTTAATCTAAATGGAAAATAGTGTGGCTATATTTCTCCCACAAGACGGTTTAGACAAAGGAACCTATTTCCCCCGATCTTTTTACTTTTGTGTCTGGAGTCATTTCTGCTCTAATCAAGTCTGAAACTTGGATGGGAGGTCTTAAGGGCCTTAAGCTGTCAAGTTATGGTCCTGTTCTATCTCACTTGCTTTTTTATGACGATTTTGTACTCTTTTGTAAGGCTAACACCAACCAGGCCTTTCAATTGGTCAACATTCTTGAAAAGTACCTTGTCTTCTCTAGGCAAAAGGTGAACATGGATAAGTGTTCTATATTTTTTAGCAGAAATACCTCAGAGCATATCCAACTAAGCATTTGTAGAATTCTTGAAGGGATTAAGGTGCAAAAATCTAGTTAAATATCTTGGTCTGCCACTGGGTATTGAGAAATCTAAAAGAGAAGCTTTTAGTTATGTCCTGGAGGTAGTGAGAGCTCGTATAAATAGTTGGAAGAACAAATTTCTTTCAACTGCAGATAATAAAGTTTTAATTAAAGTTGTTCTTAATGCTTTGCCTTTT